AAAAGGATATGCTGGTAAGTTTTTCTGACTCAGCATGAATTTGGTTGTAATAATGATGTTCGTCATATGAAAGCTTAGCACGTTTTCATCGGAATCGGAGGAGATTACCTCGGAAACAGTGTCAACATGAATGCTCCAGTAAAGCCAATCGAGAACTGGTTAGGAGGGATCCACTTTCGTCTTCTGGTGGAATCGACCTTCGAATCTCTTCACCAAATACTTTCACTCGAAACGCAAGTAAGCTCAACAACTATGCAACAAGAGATTCCTCAAAGCCCATGATAACCAAAAGCTTAGCGCACTTTCACCGTAATCGAGGGCGATTGCTTTGACGGTTGAGGCAAGGGAATCAGACCGTCCGGCCTCGTAGTTTCGAGAACACTCCGAACTGTCCGTACTCGAAGCGTCCCAGGGTCTCGTACCAAAGCGTCCCTTGGCTGGGCCTCCAGACCTTGAGGCCTGCGGGGACTCGGACTTCGAGGGCATGTGGAATCCGGCGGACCGGGTGAACTGGCTGAAGCAGCTCGAGCCGACCGAGGCTGGCCTCCCAGCGGAGTCCGTTTGAGCTTGATTTGGACACGTGGATTCGGTCTGCTCAAGATCAGGCCAGCGACCACACGCTATCGGCTCGATTCTCCCTTAACATCTCGTAATCTATTATGATTGTAGCAAACCTATTGGCGGCGGAAGTTTGACTGGCTCTGATCATTTTGTCCTTTTTTGCTACTGCCTCATGGCGCCGGTCGTCGCTAAACTCACGGATCAGTTTCACCGCACATTCTCTTTCTTTTGACGCTGTCTCTGTAGTATCTCTTTACGTAGTAACTTTTCTTAAGCTTCTTGTACGTTTAGTAAGCAAGATCAACTCCGAGCCCTATCACTCTTCTCCATTTCGCACTTTCTTACCCTGTTAATCTTGCACCGTACCACACAATCACCACTTCGTCGCGGATCTGGGCTGAAAAATACCTCAGATACAGGCATTCGTTATGTCTATCGTTCCGAAGGTTTGGCAATGCCGCCAGTTGGCGTTTCGGCGTACCTTTTATGTCGTTTGGTGAGGTGGTCGCCAGCTTCTCTTCGTACACCGCCAGGACTGGGCAATCGGCCTGCATGGAGAATCACTTTTATATGCTTTT